GATGGACAATGCTCTTTTGGTAGGTGGTGGTACTTCTTTTGCTTTGGTGTGCTTCAGTGATTTAACAAGTACTGGGTTGAAATCCCAGTGCTCAACATCCAAAAGAATTATTTTAGCCCGGAATAAGGAACACTTGATCTGAACACATCAGTTGTCCATCTCCAGTCACAGGCCTCCGTTTGCGGGCCCTGGGAAGCTTCCCTGTGCGTTCACTCTCTGACCTAACAGCAAAACTTCCATCTGGTCTGCCATTTGGTCTGTCCTGACAACCTGGAACTCCAAAGTGCGTATACTGGGAGAATCATTTTTGGTCTCCAGGGGATCTTTCCCCGGCCTGTGCTATGGTTACCACCACAGGAATTACGCTAATTTCTCCATGTTTTCCTCTAACTGACTGAAAATGTAGATAAGCTGTCTTTCTGATGAATGAGAGCACCTTTGAGGAACCATGGAAGTTTCCTCTTGACCTAATGATCTCCCATCTACCCATTCTTGCTCTCTAACTGGTATGGTAGTTTCAATTTGTAAGTTACCAAAGCTGTAGATTTCGTTTTTGCTAATATTGCTTTTTTTTCCCACACTTAAACTTTAAGGGTTTTAAGTATTCTTTTCTAAACAGTAACTTTTACAAAATTTGAAAAAAAAGTGTGTTCAAAAAACCTTTCATGGAGCTGGAAGAAATGCAATAAGGCTAAATAAAATGACTGCAAAATTAACAATTTTTTCTCTTTTTTTAAGAAAAAGAGAGATTAGGCATATTTAACCTAGAAAGGAGACAGTTAAAATAAGATGACAAAAGTCTGCGAAATCATGAAAGTCTTAGCAGGGTAGACATAACAATCCTCAGAATATTCTGAAATATTAGATTGTGTACTTCCTCTGAAAGTTTGAGAGAGTTAAATTTTTCAACAATATTTTTCCCTGTTGACAAAAACTTGCATTTTGACCTTCTTTTCCCTTGCTATGCCACATATCTCAGGTATTATCCACAGAAACAATCTCGTCTTTTGTTCCACACTCAACCAATTACTCTATTTGAGAAAAACTCATGAAAATTTTCCAATTATCCAAGCAAATGGAAAAGAACTATCAATTTTAAAAATAATTTTTTAAAAAGGTGATGGAAAGTTGGACTTCTGATGCCTTCAGATTTCTCCTACTTTCATTCAGGGTTCTTTTCAGTTCTAAAGTCTCTGCTCTGAATGAAATCTTGAGGCCATATAGATGAGGAACGAATTTCCAGCAAAACATTTATTATCTTAAAATTCTAATCAAACAACTGGGATGACTCATGGACTTCTCATTAGAATGAGATTATACTGAGTTTTGAGCTTATGCTTGTCCCCGGGCAGGCCGGAAGGGTGACCACACCTCCCCAGACAACAGGCAGAGAGACAAGTAGCTGATGGTTCAGTTTTGAAATACACTAAAAACATTCTCTATGGTTCAGACCTGAAGTACTTCCAACCTTGGTAATATTCATGTGCAGAATCTTTGTACAGTCTCACATGTGTAAGTTCTTAGGAGGTTGCATGTATTGGGGTTTGTTTTTGTGTTTGGGGTTTGTTTTTCTGTTTGTCTGTTATAGTTTACTTGCATCCATGAGAGAAAATTTGACTAAAAAGATCTAAGTGGCTCTAAGGCATACTAAACACTGCAGTGAAATGCTCTTAACATAATTTCTCAAATGAATATATTGATTTTTTTAATTGAAAGAGCAAAGAAATGAATAAATGAAATGAAAGAAGAAAAAACACAGAAGAGTTGGATTTGGAAATTAAGACTGCTACCAAAATGTGTGTGGAGGTGGCAGTATACATTTTGTATTTGTCAAAACTGTTTTTTTAAATCATTGCACAGTTCTATGTTTACAGTTTGTTCATTTAAAATCTAAAATATGATTTCTGAAAATCTGTAGGTTAACCTGAAGGTTTTTTTGATGTCATTTTACAAGGAATGGTTTACTTAATTTTAATATTTAAAATATGTTGTAATATGGGCACAGCTATAATTATGTTACTAAATAATATTTGCTTCTCATGATCAAGCAAAATATTTTAAGAATATTCTTTATGAGACAAAAGGGGAAAATTCAATTAGCAAGATACATTCTCAGTATTTTCCTTCTTTCTTTCCAAATATTTTCAAGGTGTTTATGTCATTTTTCAAACATGGCAAAATGTAATGTTTATAGCAAAGATACTTGGATTTCCATGGATGGCAGGGACGAGCTAAGGTAATACTGTCTGAGAATACACTTTTGCAAGGAGCAGGATCCTACTCAACAAGCTCAAGCAAACGCAGTGTATTAAGTGGATAACAATTTAATGGACTCCAGAGTGAAGCTAAACCGCCAGACACCAGGAAAAGCAGGAACCGGGCAGCCCCTGGGGCCTCAGCAACAGACATTCATGGTTTCTGACTCTTGGGGTTTGCCACAAACATGAGATGATGAGTCTGAGTGACTTGATCAGTCATGTATGAACTGGTTCCTTCAGGCCGTGCTGCACCCTTGATCAGATCAGAGTGGTTGGGGATGTTGACCATATGAGAGCATATTTTCTTTGAAGGCACGTGAAAGGGAAAGATATATGGCATATATAATACAATCACTAAAATAGTTAAAACTTGGATCAGGCAAAGATAAAAGTTATCACTTGCTTGAAATACAGCTCTGAAATTTTGGTGCCAATGTTTGAATTAATCTCCTTAAAAGTTCAAAGCCCAACACTGACGTCTTGGATTTTTTTGACAGGAATTTCTTGGATATAATTCAGAAGTCAATATCTGATCTACATTAGCTCCAAATCAAGTTGAACACCATTATGATCAGAAAACACTTCTTGTTGTTACTTATGCATATATGAGAGTAACTGGTAGTAATAATTATTCCTTTAGACTTACCGTATAAATCATTACATATACTTCTTTATCACTTAATGTAATCTTAATGCTATGCCAAGTAATTCCAACTAATAAATATATAAATAAAATAGTAAATCAGACCAAAAAGTTCTATTGAAAACTTTATTTTTCATTAATATAAGTAAATATGTATTGAAAAACCTCCATGACATCTAATTCTGGAACTGTGATTATCACTAATTGTTCCAAACCTAAATATTGTTAAAACTTTAATAATAACTGTGAAGAGGAAAAAATAATCAACATTCATGGTGGAATGTTAGCCTCTCAACTTCCAAAATCTGAGCCACAAAGGAAGCCTCTGCTCTTTTTTTCATTCAAATTATCATTTCGCAGAACGGTACAACATAGCTTTCTTTCTTCCATGCATAAATATTATTCCCTAGCAGTAATTTAAAGATTCAGCTAACATCTGTCGTCTTCCTCCATCTTTACCCCCTTAAGCCTATCCTTGAGTAGAGCCACAGTGACCTACAAAGATGTTGCTCCTACAAAGATGTTGCTCCCTGGCTGAAGTTCTTCAGCGGCTTTCCCTGGCTTATAAATTAAGTTGAAGCACTTTTGCATCTCATAATGCAAATTCCTTCTTGTCTGGCCCATTCTCTCCTGTCCAGATTCTTCTCTTCCCACTCTCAGCCTCACAACTGTCATTTGGCAATAAGAAAATACCTGTTGCTCCCATTGACTTTATGCTTCCAGGTCTTTTGTTATGCTTTCTCTTCTGATTGGAATATTCCCCCATCTCTTTCTTTACCTAACTAATTTCTACTTTCCCATAAAGACTCAGCTCCTGGCTAACTAATCATAGGAACATCCCCTGAGCCTATCAAGCTGGGCTAAAATTCCCCGCCTTGTCACCCCAAAGTGTGCTGTGCATACCTCCCATCACAGCATTTATGATATTATTTTGAATGATCAGTTAGTGGGTCTATTGCTCCACTAAACTATAAGCTGGTTCCGTGTTCCTCCACCAATATCTACTGGGGACTTGATATTCTTAGATTTGTTGGACAGAATGGAATTTCTGATACAGTTTTCTGCTAATACTGTTTCTGACAACAAAAACCTTAAGCCATTTCATAGGGAATTTGAAACCTCAACAGAAGTCAAGAAACTTACAAACTGGTTGTTTTAAAAACATTCAGCTGCTTCTGGCAAGTGAATTTAATCTTCTAATTTTTCTTATTAGTCTGCTGCAAGAAAACATTTGTGCATAGATGTAGCCCCAGAGCATTTTCTTGGCATGCTGGCCTGAAACCATCTCAACGCTTTGCCTAAAGCAAGACAGTGATTGTTCAAGCAGTAGACTCACTGATGGGTCTCAAGGCGTAGTTGAAATGGTGCATTTCCACATCAGGTTTTTGTAATCACAACCGTCACAAACAATGTGATTTGGTTCAGTTACCCAAATCAAGCAGCACATTTCTGTTGTTCTGTATCCTAAATTCCTCATTATTTTACATTTTTAAGTGTAGTGAGAACAGAAACAGAAACTTTATAAATGCTATACTAATGCAAAGGAGAGATTTACATAAGTAAAATAAATAAAGTAGAAGAAATTGATTGATTATTCAGAGAAAAAAAATTGATTATTCAGAGAAAATTCTATGTCCTGCATTATGTGCATCTCTCAGGTAACAGTGATTTGGAGTTCAACACATCTGAATTGTCCAGATGATTGCTGCAATTTCCCAGTTGACTACACTAATATAAGAATGGCTCTAGGAAAATTTTTAAATGAAGCAAACTGAGATGAAACCTAAGAAACAAGGTAAAATTCTACTTTCTTCTTAATGATAAATTAGAATTATTTATAATCTATGCTTTTGTTTTACATTTTGTACACTCTAAAACTACTTTAGGAGAAGTCTTGGCAGAAGATCATTATTTTCCAATTCAATATTCAGTTTTTCAGAGCATTTCAAATATTAGAGAGGGGGTACCTCGGATTAAACACAGGTGAGCATTACAAAATGAGCCCTCTGTAGCTTTCCTCCCTCTCTGCTTCATCGGTATGTACTTGTTCATCCTCTCTCTACCTCGTTTACAGAATCCAGTGATGAAACGTTCCTTACTTGGTATTATGTGTATCAATGGTATGGAAGAGCTCACGTAATTCTTCTCCACTCAGAACACCGTCTGCAAAATACGCTTTGAATTCTTCAAAGGACAATTTTCCATCATCTGAAATGGTAAAAACAAAGAGAAGAGAAGCACATCATTTCAACTTTGTACATTGTTTTACCTTTTAATTTTTAAAACTTTGCTCAAAAGCTTGTGCAGGTTTATTTGTGCATGCACACAAATGTATTCAAAAAGAAAGAACAATTCAAGGAGTTAAAAAGAAAAATAATATATGTTTATAATACATACTGCAGATGTATACACCAACATGAACTATGTCTACATGGTTTGGAGTATTTTTTGGTTCATTTATACATATGGCAAACATTTAACATTTAACAAGTAATTTAACTAGCCACACCAAAAAGATATTCACACAACCAAATAAAAGACCAAGACAGAGTCAACTATTTAGATGTTTTGCCTTGACATACAGGATCTAGCAGATTGCAGAATAAATAGTAGATGTTTACTAAGTGTATATTGATTGAATGGATGCTAACATGTGAATATCAGAATTGTTATTACGTCCAGCAAACTGTGTTCATTTCTTTACTCTTTAAACAAACACTTTTTAAGCCAAACACATTTTACTTATTGTGAGATACAAAAGTGAAAGACAATGAGGGAGTTGAATAAAAGAGATAAGATGTGCAGACATAAGTATAAGAACATTACACAGTACAACACAGTAAGTGCAGTAACAGACACACTTTGGAACATATGAGAGTTGGGGTAATAAAAGATCTTTTCATTTGGGGGCATGAGGAGTTTTAGTAACTTTTGCGCCTGACTTTGAATAACAGGTAAATTGTAGAGATGGAAGAAACATATTAATAACAGAAGAAAGGAAGAGACTTGTACGAGACCCAGCAGCAGAGAATCTCAGGGAGTGAACAGACATGAAGGGCGAGGAAAGCACCTTCTCTCCTCGCAAGGAGCTGCCTTGTCAGTCACCTCGGGTAAGACACCCAATGACTGTAAGTGGTGACAAGATCCTCTCCTTTTACAAAGAAGCAACTGAGGTCCAAGGAGGAACTTGCCCAAGGTCACAAAACTCCTATAGGCTGGTCCTACCAACAACACTGCACTGAACAAAGTAGAAAGTGTCTTTGAGTGGAAGGTATGATTCACTGGGATTGGATCTTCAAGGCTCATTTAGAGCATTTTTTTCCCTGAAAAGATGGCTCACAGACCACCTGGAGAACTGTTAAAATGCAGATTCCTGGGCCCTACCAGAGAATCAGAATCTCACAGGGGCATGGAGAGGTGGGCAGACAAGACATCAGGATTTTTAACAACCTGTGTGATTCCTCCTTACACTAATGCTTGAGACGTATTATTATAAAGGACAAAATAGGCCTAATCACTGAATTACTTACTTTTTCAGATAGGGACTTAAAGGCTGTAACGTTTCAAAAATTCTTATTTGCAAAATATAGATATAAAGACCCCTGAGAGTTTTAAAATTGTGTTTCATTTTCCTTTTTAACTTAATGGGTATATTAAACTAATCTTCCAGTTAATTCTTGCCAACAGTTAACTGGGCAGACACAGCCTTAGAGGTCATAAAATCTCTATTTGGATCAGGCACAGAATGAGTTCCTGACCCCCAGGAGCCCCCTGGACCAGGCCAGCTCAGCCATTCAAACGTCATAGCAACCCATTACAAAATGAAGTTTAATCCACCAAGCTCATCAGTTGTCTAATTTTATGTTTCTGTTTTGGATGGGCTATTTTAGTGTCACGTCTCAAGTGACTACTTTAAGCTTTAGCACCATGTAACCCGATGTATATCCCAGATGAGACTTAGAATTGTATCTCTACTGTGCATCTCCTTACTTTGATGAAAAACATATTGCCAGGTTGAGGAATTGGACACAAACCAAATCTAGGTATAGGTCAAAGAGAGAAAGGAAAAGACCTTTTCATCTACTTAAACAAAAAAAAGAAAGAAAAGAAAAACAGAAATCAACCTACTATTTCCAACTCTACCACAGTGATACGCAAGTGTAATACGTTCATATTCATGGCAGAATGTGTTTTCCTTGGTGAATATTCACTGGCTCTCAGGTGAGCTGAACCAGGCTATTAAAGAACGAGGCTGCCTGTGCACCCTATGGACAGGGCAGGCCTCTGCAATACTGCTTTATAATTACCATAAATGAGTTCAAGTAATAACGCACATATTATCAAATAAAAACATTGAATAACAAGTGCTCTGTGATTCTATGGAGGCTAAAAGCTCTTTTTTTTTTTCTGAATTCTTATTGGAAAAAAATATAAAAAGAAAAAGGACACATTGAATTACAGTTCTGACTTGAGGGATGGAAAGTGTGCTTTGAAAGCCTGTTTTTACCACATACCAAACTGGAAGTTTTCACTTTAGACTGCCACATTTTTAAACAATCAATTGCAAAGAGTTACTGTTGAATATTTCTAGACTAGTGCCTTAATGTTAAACAAAAGTAGTATATTTTTTTTAAAGGAAAGGGAGAAAAAATATTCCCTTCTAGTGTGGTTCTACATTAATGAAGCAATTATGAAATTTTTATTAAAATGTTTTATTTCAACTTCAATTTTCCTGCTGATCTTTTCTTTTGAAACAGAACAACACAGTTAAACCTTGATTTATACTGGTGTGGCTCACAGAACAGCCAAATCTTGTGAGGTTTGATGTCTTATTATAATAAATCTTAACTTTTACCACAAAACAGTACAGGTTTTTGAGCTTTTTCTATTAGAATTACATATTTTGCCTGAGTTTGTCCTGAGCATAGCCAGCCCCTCTCTGCTTTATTTTTGAATGACTTTGACCTTATCCTCCAAATTCCATTAATGTTTTTGAGATGAGGCAGTAGAGTGCAGTTGCTTAGAGCACAGTCTTAGAACAAAGAAAATCTTGAGTATTAAACATGGATTTGCCATTTACTAGTATAGCACTTTCATCCATTTTTTCATCAAGATCCTACTATAAAAGCCCAAACACTGTTTTGTGCTAAGAATATAGGTAGACAAGCCCTATGGCTCTTATAATTATGATGGAGGATGCGGCAAATAAACAGCCAAATACAATATGATACGGGCAATTCTGGGAGACATAAGGTGATGGGAGCATGTAGAAAAAAAATCTATTCCAGATGTAAGGGCAAAGGGAAGGCTTCTCAGAAGAAGTGATATTTCAGTTGAGACACAAATGAAAAACAGAAGTTAACGGGGGAAGATGTGTAAAGAGGAAGAGTGTTCCAGGCAGAGGGAATGCCAACTACAAAGTTAAGAGGCAAGAAAGAATATGGGTTGGAAAATGAAAAGAAAAATCAGTACACTCAGTCAAAGAGTATATATTGGAGTAGAATGGTGTTACTAGGGGCTGGAGAGAGGGGGCAATGAGGAGATGTTGGTCAAGAGGTACAGAGTTTCAGTTACACAAAATGAATAAGTTCTGGAGATCTCACATATAACAATGTAAGTATTGTTAATAACATTGTATAGTCATGCGCCACATAATGGTGTTTTGGTCAATGACGGACAGTATATATGATGGTGGTCCTATAAGATTAGTAGCATATAGCCTAAGAGCATAGTAGGCTATACCATCTAGGTTTGTGTAAGTCCATTCTATGATGTTTGCACAACGACCAACGACGAAATCACCTAAGAACTCATTTCTTAGAATGTATCCCTATTGTTAAGGGACACATGACTATACTGTATACTTGAAATTTGCTAAGAGGGTAGACCTTACGTGTTCTCACCACACGCACCAAAATAAAAAAATGGTGACTATATGAGGTGATGGGTATGTTAAGTAGCTTGATTATGGTGAATATTTCACAATGTATGTGTATAGCAAATCATGAAGTTGTATACCTTAAATATATACAATTTTAAATTGTCAACTATATCTTAATAAAGCCGGAAAAAAGAAAGAATATAGATTGGGAGTGAAGGAGCAAAAGCCAGAGAGTTAAACACAGAGAGTCAGTGTCATGAAAAACCATAAAAATCATGGTAAAGAATTTTGAATTTACTTCAAGAGCACTCAGGAGCCACTGTCATATAGGAAAGCTTACTGTGGCTGCAGTGAGTAGAATGAAGAGGCGAGGTATGCCACTAGAAGAGAAGATCCATTAAGAGGATATTGCAATAATTCAGGCAAGAATCAATGGTGGCATAAACTTAGCTGGCGATAGTAAAAACACAGAGAAGTGGACAAATTTGTAATCTGTTTAGGAAATAGAATCAACAGGAACTGGTGATCAGTTAGAGATGATGGGTGAGAGGAAGCAATAAGTCAAGGATAATGCCCACTTGCCAGGATGGAGCAATCAGATGAATGATATCACCATTCATTGTAAGAAAGAACACAGGGCAAAAAGCACGAGGTGACGTACAGAGGTCTTCTGGACATGTTGAAATTAGCTGTACCTGTGGAACAAGCAGCGGCATCAGTGGGCAGAGGGATGATATGGGTCTAGAAAAGGAGAGGGTCGGGGGTAGAGGGAAAGGAGGGAAGAAAAGAAGGAAGAAGAGAGGGAGGAGGGGCGAGGATGAGGGAGAGAGAGAGGGTGAGATGTACCCTTAGGAGTTATCAGCACAGAGTCATTGGTCCTAGAAGTCTGTGAGCTGGTTCTCCCAGGGAGAATGCCTACAGTGAGAAAGGAAAGGGCTAACTAAAGTCTCTAAGTTTTATATTTTATAAATGCTTGACTGTTGCAAGGAGTAAGTAAGAGGCTATAGAGAAAACACTCAGCACGGTACCCAGCACACAGTAAGAGTTCAACAAGAGCAAGGACGATTTGGGGTGGATTTACTAGTTCAGTCTTGCTAAGGGACCATTTATGTGTTTTTAATTCCCATTTTCTACTCTTCCTCAAAAAGCACTTATTGATTACATATAGAAAAGAGGTATTTAATATGTTTGTTTAAAAATAGAAATTTTAATTTATTTTCTGGGTAATCAGGTTTTGTACATCCTAAAACTAGTGCTTCCTTGAAAAAAAAAAAAAGAGGCTCTTTAAACGCTCAATATCTCCTTCAAGTTTCATTTCCACGAATGC